GAAGAAAAAATATTGGTAGACTTTAAAAAGGCTTTAGAATTTATAAAAACTTGGTAAAATATATTTTAATATATATATATTAATTAATAAAACCTTAAAACTTCAGCTCTTATCTAAGTTTTGCTAAAGCAAAGATCACCAGATTATTTTTTACCCAAATATAAAAAAGAACAAATGACATATTAATGCAAAAAAACTGCATAATGATAAATTAAATTTTGAAAAAAATCACATCTTTTTTTTATTACTTTAAATCGATTGACATCAAATATTACACAATATAAAAAAGATCGACATTTGATTTTATCACCAGATGATATAACAAATGTTCATTATGTTCACTTGCAATGCTCAAGTATTTATTGGTAATAATACATTGATTAGATTAGATTAAGTCAATCCAATGAATTAAATTTCTGATCCATCCAATCCCAAAAAGTTGCAACATTTTATCACTAGTTGAAATAATCCATTTCATCACTTTTTAAAGTGTCAAATGTTGACCAAAATATAGTCTAATTTCTGCTGATTATTACTAAAACAATCAGCATTTTTAGTTATAGCCGATGTTGCACAATTCAGATGTCATACAAATAAACATTTAAGCCAAATTATAAGTTGTTTCAAATAAGTCCTACGAAAATATAGTTATTTTATATCTAATCAATCAAATAAATAAAATTTAACTTTCAGAAAAAAATAAAAAAATAAAATAAAACGATTTCCCAAGCATCGCTTTCAACTAATTTGCTTTCTAAATTCATCGCTTAAGCTCTAAACAAATTGATAAAACTTAAAAAAATGATTAAACAAAGAAAGTATTTTTTTTTTTTTTTGCTACAATAAAAAAGATAGGGGCGAATTAATTAAGAAAAGGAAAAAGGATTTTTATTGATAGAATACAAAGAATTACAACTATTACTGCCTGTAATAGGTCTACTTGCGGCTGAATGACGGATATACAATTTAATTGTTGATGTCAAAAAATGCTCGAATCTATCAGATTTATAGGCGCAGTCAAATTATAAAATTGGAAATTTACAAGTTAAATTTGCAGACTCATCAAAAGTCATCGCTAGGACCAAACTTTAAATAGCTGGATGTTTGTCATAATAATTGATTATGAAATTGTGAATGAACTTTGCAAAGTCATACCGAAATTATAAAGGTCTTCTTTGATGTTTTATAAATAGCGTGTTCGTGAAACATTGGGGATGGATCAGGCTAAGAATCCCACCCCCTCGGACTTTAATCGAAACATTATATAATTTATTTGTCATAAAGGAAAGAAATCCATTTAACGAAAATAACAAAAAAATCGAAATTGGCTTCAGACTTAACAAAGAGGACCAATTAATTGTTTTGATAACACAAAGGAATAAAGTTACACGTAATTTGTAAATCCAACAGTATTTTTAAAACATTTTTTTTAAAAGAAAGAACAAAAAATCAACAAAGGCAATTCTGCATAAAATTTGGTAAAACATGAATATTTTAAAATGTAAAAATATTGAACAACCTTTATTCATTTGGTTTTTTTTTCCTTTTCTTTTTCTTTATATAATGAATTATTTTGACGTCGGTCACATATATATTTTAAAAATTATAGTTGGATTTTAGGTAGAATTTCCTCTTTTTTTTTAAAAAAAATTCCTCATTCAACCATTATACATTCTTCTTTTTCCCTCTCTCTATATAATATATATATATATATAGTTTTTAAAAAAAGGATGTTCGCAAAAGACGCATTAAGTCATAATTACAGAACGGAGCCCTGGTGGTTTCGTCTAATTAGACGAATATTTGCCCTAAATTTATTAATAGTATTTGGTGTATACGGAATTTATCAGGTTACGAATTTTACAATGTTCATTAATATGGAGAACATAGTCATGATAGAACCGAAGACGAATGTTTCTTTCCCAGGTAAATAACTTTTTCCCCCAAAAAGAAATTTATCTTAATTTTGAACGTTGGCATATGTTAACTTTATTATGTTTTTATAGGGTGCGTCATATGTCCAGAATCCAATGTGCCAAACTTTATAGGTCCAACGATAGAAAAAGATAATTTAATCGATCCGCCATTTTCCATCACTTGCGGTAAATCCACATGTATGGGATTAATCTTATTAAGGGAAAACGCAGAATTTACGCAGCCAATATGCAATAAATTAATTCAGCGAAGTAATAGTGGATGCTTAAAATTTCGACCTAATAAAGAAAAATGGAAAATGGATGGCCGTGAAGAGTACGAGGATAATAAATTTAGGGAAAGGGAATCAAGCAAGTCCTTTTTTTATTTTAATATCCTACCAAAGAATGGGTTAACACCAGACGAGATACCAACGATTTACTTTGATCAATATAATGATACCGAGAAAAATTATTTGGCGGAAAACTATAAGGGCAATTTTTTTCAATATTATATGCAAACCATAATAACCACAGGTGAAAGGACGATATTAGAATTTCCGGTAATTCACCGGTTCCTTAGTACATTTTTAATGGGTCAATTAAGTTCACGACCTGATAATACTTCAGTTGAGATTTCGGTTAACCAAAAATTCATACCATTAAGACAACCTTTTTTTAATGGTCGGTTGAAAACTCAATTTGTAATCATGCCAGGGAAACGATTTACGCGTGAAGAAATGGAGAATTACGAATATCAATCCATTTCCATAGTATTAAGGTTTGGTGTGTTTTATGGGGCCATCGCGGCCATTTACTTTTTTTTATTTGCCATGTATAAGGTAATGTTTCAAAAAGTAGTATTTAGATGTTGGCCATTTCGCAGAAGTTTTAAAAAACATTTAGTCACGAGTTTTGTATCTGCCGCTGGGGTTCCACTTGGTGAGAATATTAATGATCGAGACTACTATCTCGATTCCTATTACCTTGACGTAACTAAAAGGCGTTATTATAATAACGAATACGTCATAACCAATTAGAAAACGTAGTTCAGATAAGAGACGCTGTCATAAGCAAGTTATACGACAAGATGAACATAGCAGTTGGCCGAGACTTTTTAACTTTAGATTACAACATTTTAGTGAAAGGTTCTTCCTTGAGCGAGAAGATGGGGTGGGAATACTTCAGATGAACATTTGACCCCATTACGTATACAGTATTTGCAAAAGGACAAAGACCCCAAAAATTTTCATATTTAGCATTTGTACATTAAAGAATTGCGTTTTATTTTTATATACTTAATTTCTCTTCGATTATATTAATAATTTAGCCCTTGTATGTTTTTCAATCCTTGTTACAAATTTTATAATTTAACTTCATCTAGAGCAGAATACCTAAAAAAAATTTTAAAACATAACTATTGCTAAAATATGACGCATTCGTCAAAAAAAATTCATTCAAAACTAATTTTTAAAAAACTAAAACAAAAAATTGTTCTTAAAGTGAAAATATATAGAAAGTTTTATTTCTTATAATAAAATTTCATTAGTGCCAAATAAATGTAGCCAGGAAAACAGGGAATATGTCCGAAATGGGATTCAATCGAGTGAATTTAGACAATTATCTATTGGCGACATGTACTGGATAGTAAAATCTACTAACGAAGTTCAGCTGATACCATTTCAACTGTTGGTCTATCTTCACCTGGACCAACTTCACGTACAGCTCCTCCAGGTTTATCGAAAGAGTTACAAAATGTAATGATAATTTGTATATTGGACTTAACAACTTAACAGCAACGCAGATAAAATTAAATTTCTTGAATCGATATGAAATAGGAAGAACGTAATAATGAGTATGATCTTATTTTATAAATTTCCTAATAGTCAATCTGATACGTAATTAAATATGAAAGAACGAGAACAAATGTTGTTGCATAATGATTGATATAAATAAAATCTCATAATAATTTTGATTAAAATATTTTCTCACAATGGCAATAAATAAATCGTAAGAAATTTGAGTTAGCAAGGAAAACCCTGCTCGAATTTGATAGGGAGGATATTATAAAAGAAAATACAACAGAAAAGGGTACAGCTAAAAAAGAATCAAGAAAAATTGTAGGTTTTTAGTGACATATCACTTGAAGTTTCGTAGAAAATCATGTTCATTTAGTTAAGGGAAAGATATTGCATACAAATTATTTATGCATTTGTAGCAGGATTTTTGGGTCATTTGATAGGAAATTGAAGCAATCAAGCTCTTGGACCTGGAAATGAACCACAGCATAGGCAAAAACTATGGTAATAAATCTACTTCAACATTATAAAAACATGTGAAAAAGCATCATCCAAATATTTATCAAAGTAATGAACTATTACAAATAAAAGAAAAGTTTACATCACAAGAATTTAGAAAAAAATTAATTGATTGGACAGTAATTGATGATCAACCATTTATAGTTATTAAAGAAAAAAAATTTATAGATATGTTAACATATCTTAAATTTGATTTAAATTTACCATCAGCAGATACTTTACGATATGATTTAGTTGCAAATTTTATACAAATAAAAAATAATGTATATAAAAATTACAGGTAAATATTTTATTAATAAATTAAATTAATATATTTAATTATTAATATTTATATTAAAATTGATAAGAAGTAGAGCTCCTAATGAGTCGAGTTGACTCACGAGTCAAATGAGTTGACTCGAGTTTGAGTTGAGTCAAGTCAAAAATTTTCCAACTCATTTGACTCGAGTCGAGTCATTAGTCGAGTCGAGTCAATAAATTGACTTAACTCATTTCAACTCGAATTGACTCGAGTTGACTCATGTGAATTGATTTTACATGAATTAACATTTTGGGAATTTTGTGTAATTCATTTTGGTAATTTTCTAATTCTTCAATAGCCAAAAATTTTCTTTTTAGAAATTTGTATAACCATACATCTATATTTGGAATCTTGTGTAACTAAATTTGGTTCAATCCTAAAATTTAAAAATATATCGGTTACGAAGCTTTAATTAAATATTTTTAACACGTTTCTTGAATATCTCAGCGTCAAGTGATCCGTTAGAAATGCAACACATATAATTTTGATGAGCGTATTTCGGCGAACACGATAGTGCAGATTTCACGAAATTCGGATCGGTAGATCTCAAGATAATAGCCTTCGAAGCCAAAAATCAATTTTTTAACACATTTTCTTGAATATCTCTGCGTTCAGTAATCCATTAGAAATGTAACACATATCGTTTTGATGAGCGCATCTCGGCGAACATGATGGTGCAGATTTCATAAAATTCTGATCGGTAGATCATTAGATAATAGCCTCTGAAACATTAATTTAATTTTATTATTTTATTATTTATATAATCAGCAAATATATTTTGGGGGTTTTTATTTGACTCGAGTTGAGTTGAGT